CAGTACTTCTGCAGGAATACTCGCACAGGCAGATGTTATCCTGTCCTTCATGTCATTAACATCGCTGGGCTCTGTTACGTAAACTCGATCTTTAACGTAGCCCCAAAGGAAAAAGTCGAGCGGAGAAAGGTCAGGTGATCTTGGTGGCCAAAACATCGCTCCTGCGCGCCCAATCCACTGTTGTGGAAAACGTCTGTCCAACCAGTTCTTCGCCCTGGTAGAAAAATGTGGTGGTGCTCCATCGTGCTGAAACCATACTTGGCGCAGGTCATTCAGGGAAAGACTGCAGACAAGATCATCAATGACAACACCTAATATTTCTTCTGTGTACATCTTTCCGTTCAAGTTGTCCTCAAAAAAGTGAGGTCCGATGATCCTGTCCCCGAGTATGCCGCACCACACATTCACACTCCAGCGAACTTGATGCTTGTGCTGCCTCAGCCAGTGTGGGTTTTCTTGTGCCCAATAATGGGCGTTGTGAAGATTAACACTTCCATTTCGGCAAAACCGAGCTTCATCAGTCCAAATTATTCTGTGCAAAAAGTCATTTTCTTGATCAGTTTTGATGAGGCCCCAATTGCAGAAGTCAACTCGCCTTTCAAAGTCCGCCTCATTTAGGTCCTGATGAAGGTAAACGTGATATGGATGGAACTTGTGCTTTCTTAAAACATTTGTGACTGTTCCGATGCTGCGACCGCACTGATCGGCAATCTGTCGGATGCTGAGCTCTGGCATCGAGGTTACGCACGCGACAACGTCGATTTCAAAGTCTTCATCGACGATTGCCTTCCTGGTCCGTCTCGGAAGGTGGACAGAGCCTGTTGTGCAGAAGCGTCGAAACAGGTTTGTGAAAGTGGGCCTTGTTGGAAGGGGACGGTGTGGGTGGCGAGACGCGTAAAGCTCCATTGCTAACGAAGCGTTGCCATTCATTTCAGCCATTGCAAGCACCACGTCTACTTTTACTTTGGTAGAATACCTCACGCCAGAAGCAGCCATATTAGCTCGAAAGGACTCCACGTGGATTTCCTTGGTAGACCTTCAATGCAGAGACGCTGTGCTCTAACCGGAGGCACCCTAGTGCAGGACGGTCCTGCTAACGCGTTCACAAGAAGATGTCTCAGTGTGATCTAAAGTCACGAAAAAACGTCGCGAAAAATGGTCTCCTGTTATCGCGTTCATCAGGATCATGCGTAAGGCTCATGGCGCACCGCGCTGTCACATTTTGATTTCGCCGGCCGAAGAGGGCAAGGGTAATTGCTATCACCTATGCCTACGCTTCCACCCTCTTCACACACTAAACACCACACGCAACAGATGCGTCACTTTAGGGAGGAGCTTTGCGCGGACCCTCACCCTCTTGCATGCGTAATCGTGCGAAAGACAATTAAACTTTGGAGCCGGATATCTCGGAACACAGGCGTGCTAGAAAAAATCTTCCAACTGAAACTGTGTACAAACACCACTGCCTACATTTTTTCAATATAAACATGCCAACTTACCGCAGCCAGTAAAAAGTTAATTATTAAATTTTAGTTAATTGGGCTGCTGACAGCGATAATTATCATCTAACTTTCTGTCCCCCTGGCCGCTTAACTTATTTGCACAAGTGGTTCTCACGTGCCTTCGAGCGCCTAATTTTAAAAAAATCATAAAGCTTAATTTTGAACACCCGGTATATATATATATATATATATATATATATATATATATATATATTATCTAGCCTCATATCCCCTCCAGAAATAACCAATATATGGGACATCAAAAAGCGTTCTTTTAAATTAAACAGTTCTCCCGAATGACACCTGTGGGGCACCAGAGTAAATTGCTTATTCGTTACAAACGTTCCGTTCGCGCTGTCGGTAAACAAACACTTTGTACAATGTGCAATCGAAATACAGAAACACGCAGTTCGTGACTATACTAATGCGTTATATGCCCATGAACTGGCGCTCTTTGGCCATCAAATGGCCCTTGCGCCAAAAAACACCATATATCATCAATGCGTTATATGATGTTGAAAAGACCGCGCCTTAGGCTAAAGGTACACAATATGTGGCTCCATTTGTATTTATCACTAATAATTAGTTTCTGGTTAGAGACCACGTCTCTAAAATTGCTTTTCGCACACCCCTACACAATTGCACCACACTCAAGGTCAGAGTCATGTGCGATTAACGTCGCAAGCCTGTTCAGAGAAGAGCAGTAGGTGTTTATCGCAAATGGACAGAACAAACAAATAAAAAAGAACCCACACAAAACAGATATCTCCGAATTTTTGTGCTATCCAGCGTTCGCAGCGAAATTTAAGTGGGCCACCAGCTGTTACGGCGAGAAATCAAAAAATTGAAATCTATGCAAAGTCTTTGTCCATTTTGTGTTGCTAAGTCATTCGTATCTGACTTGTGCAGCTATATGCAGCGCGTTGTTACATAGAAGTGTGGCAGCTTGGGCTAGTTGGTATGGCATGACGATAGTTATAGCGCGAGAACAAAACGACTAAGCAGAGACTTTCGTGTCCTTCTTGTCTCTGTGTCGTCGTTTTGTTCTCGCGCTATAACTATCGTCAAGCGTCGTTACAATTCATGCGCCTGTTTTTTTTTTTTTTAAAGTTAGCTTCCCCACACTAATAGTGTGCTGTGTAATGAAGACATCACAACACACTGCGGTGTGTCGGCTTCACCGTATAACTGTTTGTGATGCAGTGAAGACGTAGCAAAGGTAATATTCGGCCTCAAGGTTTGGCCTGGACGGTTTACTTGACCCAACTTCCACGTCGATCTGAGTACGATTCCAATTACCGATCTATTTTCAAGCTGGTGAGCGCTGACTCTGCGAAACGTCATGTCTGTTTGGGCGTCATCTGAGTCACAGCTGCAAGCACTTCTTGCATGTTTTACTCGCGTGGTATGGACATGCACTATTGTACTGGACTTGTCTTCTCTATAATAATAACATATTATAATAGTTAGGGTTTGACGTGACGAAACCACTATATGATTACGAGGCACGCCTTAGGTTGGAGTACTCCGAAAATTTCGGCCATCTGATATTATTTAATGGGCACTGACATCGTACAGTATACTGTACGGGCTACAGTCTCACACACCAAAATGCGACCGCCACGGCATGGTTCAAACCCACGACCTTTGAATCAGGATTCTAGCACCGGTAACAACATATCCACCACGGAGCGGATGGTTCTGCGTTCTCAACACATAGATTTTGATATGTATAGAGGGATTCTTTCTAACAATACACTTGTGTGAAACAACGGTAACATGTCTTGAGAAATGCTTTCTACCCACAAGAGCTGTTTGCACGTATGCGTGTGTGTGACACCGGGTATATGCGTGTATATCACTAGCCAATGCCATTCTCGCCCCATCCCTGGACTCTGCCCCCTTTTGCTGGATGCGGTGGTGGCGATCATTTTCGGGGCCGCTGCAAATCCAAAATAAAATCGAACCGTGTTCATAGCAAGTATGGCACCAAAAAAGGCATAACTGACAGATTCATATGTTACGCGACACGTACAACGTCTGAACACTTCCTGAAATAATGAGACCACGGAGAAATGAATATATCACTACCCCGGAACTTATAATTGGTGTGTGAATATGCGTAGACCCACCTTCACGTTGATAAAAGCGTTGTAGAAGCATAAAGTTACCTTTTTCATGCCCTTAACTTGCGTTCTACTCGGTGCATCATGTGATAATATTTGAGCGCAGGCCTCCTCCCCGTGGAACATTTTTACGGTGTGTCCATGATTTGCGTGACTTATCTTGAACATTGTGGATCAGCTTTATAGAGAGACAAAGAAGGAGAAATGGAGAGCGTAACTAAAGGCAAGAAGTTTATCAGTGCTGAGAAGAATTGGCATTTGGCAAGTTGGAATTGGTTATGCATCTTCGAAATGATATTTTGCACTACCCATTTCAAAGATGAATCCTCTGTGGTGATCAAGGCTGCCCTCACACATCAGTGACTGCTGATGCAGGCAGCAAAGAGTGGTCGAGAAGATAAAATGATAAGGTGAATAGTTGACTATATAGTTGTTGAAATGACAAGAAATTGCAGCGCTTTGTCGCGACAACTGTGTAGAGTCAATTGTCCTCAAATTGACTCAGAGGAAGTTAATGTCCCGGCTAAGGAAGGAAGGAAGCAAATAAAAGGGGATAATGCAGGAAGGCTAACCAGAAGGAATGCCGGTCTGCTACCCTACACTGGGGCATCTGGCAAGGGGTGTACGAAGATCAGAAAAAGCGAGAAGGGAAAATAAGGAGAAGAGAGAGAGAGAAAGGCAGTGAATTCACTGCACCGTGTGGAACTGCACCACGAATTAGAGGCGTCCCGGCTAAAAACACGGAAAGTAAATGGAGAAAAAAGAAAGTCATACAGGGAAGCGCAGGGGAGCCGTTCAAGACGGTTTCGTGCAAAAGTGATTGTGCTTTGCAATGAGCGGAACTTGCGACAATGTTCGTTGTTCCACACGTGCTTCCTGGAGTCCTTGAAGTTCATCGCGGTACTTTCACTTCATTCAGATGCTGACCTGATAAGAATCGCCTCATTCCGAACTACTTCATCCCGCTAGCTAACTATATATAGAGCATGTGCTTTAAGGCAGCCACAGTCGCGACCTTGCCGATAGTTATAGCGCGAGACCAAAACGACGACACAGAGACAAGAAGGACACGAAAGACGTGTGTCCTTCTTGTCTCTGTGTCGTCGTTTTGGTCTCGCGCTATGACTATCGTCATGCCATACCAACTAGCCCAAGCTGCCACACTTCTAAGCGACCTTGCAGCGAAGTTCTCCGCCGGTCACGGTAGGCAGGTACACCTTGCTAGGAAGACTCCCGCATGCACCGCTTTCACCCCGGCCCTTTCTCGCGGGCCCACGTCGGAAGGAGCGAGAGTGATCACGTGACTTCCCCGTTTACCCTCGCCTCGACGAACCGCTTCTTCCTCCTCGGCCACCGCTCGGCGAAACGGCAGGCAGCGGCCGTAGCGGCGTTCAGGCCAGCGCCGAGCAGCCAGCGCTGCGCAAGTGACAGTGAACATGGTGGTGCGTCGCCGTTCGCGGCGCTTTTTTGTGGCCAGCTAGCGACGTGTTTCAAGAGTGCGTGCACCAGTGACCATGGTGGGTTCCTGATCGACGTCGTAACCCGGAGTTACCGCGCCGGTGCCGCTCAATCGGTCCCCGAAAACACAACGACGCGCGTCATGGATGTGGTCGGCGAGGACCAAGCGCTGCAGGCGGTCTTGGGTAAGTTCGCCTTCGTCGCCTCTCCTCCTCTTTAACGTGCCCTTTCTTTTTCCCCCTCTCTCGCACACCCATGGCGCAGAGCGGAGCCTGCCTACCTGTTGCATGTTGTTATTGCACTCTCTTGGCGGCGGGACCTCTCGATTTCCGGGGGGAAAGGAAGAGAAAAGCGCGTGTGCGCCCCCCCCCCCCCCTTTGGCTTCACTGTTTTTTTGCTTCGATTCCTACGCGCTCGCGAAAATGTTGGTTCCTTGTTGGGACGCACGCGCGCGCTCCGGTGAATCGACGATCGTCTCCGAAATGTTTCGCGCATCCTTTTTACGTTTTCGCGTTTGTTTATCGAGTTCCGGCGCGCGGCCTGGGAGTTTCGGACTTGCGCTTTGACCCGGCTTCGCGCCTGCCTAGAGTTACGTTTTCAAAGGCGTCCGAGGTCGGGTCTCAATTCCGAGGGTGCATCAGCATACTTCAGTGCCGCGGATCGCAGCTTGCCTGACGTCTACGTCAGTCGGTCGGTGCGGCTGGTTAGGCCTAAGCCAACAGCCTAAGCACCCGCTTGGCCCTTCGTGGCCCAACATTCACGGTCATTCACATTCCGTTGCGAGAGGGGGGCCACCGCGAGCTCTTGCCGCCGCCGCCTCCGGCGTGCTGCGCCGCCTTTAAAACCTGGAAGCACTCAATTCCTCTAAAGTCGTGTTGTAGTGCAAGTGGGAGCTGTTGATTGCGTGCCGAAAAAGCGATCACACATATGTACAGCTCAGTCTGTGAACGTCGGCGGATTGCAGTTGACAACGATCGAGACGGCTACAACAATCTTAATCGCACTTGCCAAGGGTGCCAGTCGGCTGCTTCGGCTGCCGTTCAACGAAAAAAAAAAAAAAAATGGGAAGGACGCCGCCGTAATGATTGACTATTCCAAACATAGTCATACCGAATGCTAGGTCCCTGCGAAATCATCCAAGCATGAACGGAAGCTTGTAGCTAGCGCGACAACGTTCACAGCTCCGTGTTTAACCTCTCCAGTCCAAGTGATTCGGACTGTACACCTCTGCTAACAGCAATTTGGCAGTGTTCACTTGAGCAGCTTCGAGTACGTTACCTTGCTGTTGATTCTCGTTCAATTAGACCAGTGTATGAGGCAAACACTCTCAGTGATAATTGCGCCTTTGGAACACGCGGAAACTACGCGCCGGTGCGAGATGCGTACGGTGGTCTGCACAATGGATGCGCACCGCAGGATCTGTTTACAGCGCATTGCTTGCCGTTGTATCATCCCCCTCTCCGTAGCTCGGTTTCTTTGTCGTTGCGCGCACAACGCGCGCTTATTGCGCAACTTAAACTCACGCGCCGAAGCAACGTGACATCTTACATCCTGAAACAACGAGATGAAAGACTACACGAGATCCAGAGACGGGAAGTGCTGCTTCGTGCGGGGAACTTCGTAATTAAGCGGTCATGGCGTCGCCCTTCTGGTTCATTAACGCGGGAGGACAAGCGTTCCGCGTTTGTTCAGGCCTCCTGGGTAAGCGGGCACAGCGAGTGTAGCGTTTTTACTCATCTGTACGATTTGATACATCTGTCCGCAAAATTACCGCGCTTCCTTTGTTACGACGCATTCGCTTTCCAGCGTCAACACACGCATACACATACATTTATAGAACTTTTTAACATTTATAAAACTGGTTAGGAGCACTTTTGGCAAGCATAATTTTAGAAATCATTTCTTTCAACTTGCAATCGCATGGTGAGGATAATTGATTGATTTATGGGGTTTAACGTCCCAAAACCACCATATTATTATAAGAGACTCCGTAGTGGAAGGCTCCGGAAATTTCGACCACCTGGGTTCTTTAACGTGCACCCAAATCTGAGTACACGGGCCTAGAACGTTTCCGCCTCCATCGGAAATGCAGCCGCCGAAGCCGGTATTCGATCCCGCGACCTGTGGGTCAGCAGCCGAGTACCTTAGCCACTAGACCCCACCGCGGCGGGGCATGGTGAGGATATGCGACCGAATCGTGCCGGTTGACATTTACGTAAAAGGAAAATGTCTTCATTAATCACATGTTAGGGATCTCCTCAAAGAAAGTAACGTATCAATCAAATTCGATGGATATCTTGATTTGAAATGGAACCTACAATGAAGATAAAATTCGTGTGGTGATACTTTTTAAAACGCGGTTTTCGGGCAGAGAGATCAGTATTTTCCAACGCATTGCGGTGACTGGATGATCGGCCACTTTGTGTGCAGGTGTTATTACAGCTTTGTCTACTTTTCTCGACAGCCCACAAAACAGCGAAAGCGTTTTTTTTTTTTTTTTGAGGGCGATCGGTTTGTGTGATCCCCTCTGACTTGTGGTGGAGTTCTACAAGCTTTAGTGAACTTGCTCTTTCTCTCTCTCTTTTCCATCTCTTCCCTCCTCCCTTTTTCTTGTCCTATCTCCTAATCCACCAGTGTAGGGTAGCAGACCGGTTGTCTTTCTGGTTAACCTCGCTATCCGATAGGCTTCCTCTGCTTCCTTCGTCCGATCTTCGGCTGATTTTTGTCAAACAACTGTGGCGGAGACGATCTTGCACACACACACACACACACACACACACACACACACACACACACACACACACACACACACACACACACACACACACACACACACACACACACACACTTATGTGAAAGTTGTATCTACAGCACGAGGAATAACACATCGTTTCACAGATAACTACGCTGCCTGCACATCACAAACTTTATTTATTTATTTATTTATAATTTAATTATAGCCCATACTATACCTTCCGTTTTCGTTTCGGGAAATATTGCCTCCGTTTTAACGGTATTGGTTATGGTTGCCGCGGTAGTTGCAAGTTATAAATGTGCACAATCGAAATCGAATTGACTCTTCGATAAATCTGATTAACCACCTCCCTCGGATCCACGAGATGTGGCTGGAAGCGCACAGGAGTGTTCCGATCGAAAAAATCCGCTCTCAGACGTGTAAAGGTTTGGTCATGTACCGTACTTACGCGACTGTTACAAGACCACAATTGTAACGCCGGGTGGGGGGGGGGGTGACTTTTAAATGGGATCCAGGAAGAAAAATAGTTGATTCGGTACTCGATTGCAACGTTTAGGAAGCAAAAATATGAAATAAAAAGATTAAACGATGTAGCGTTACATTCGAGTAAATACGGTAGTTTATACGGAAACTTACGTTTATTACGTTAATAGCAGGTTGTTCTAGAGCTGCCCGCCATTATATACGCAATATCCTATATGCTTTTTAATTGCACGGTAGAGCAAGTAATGCAAGCGCCACGCAGAATTGCCTTACCGCGGCTTAGCGTTGGCGTCCACGCGTTCGATGACGTCCGCGCGCCATTACGTACGGCGAAGGTAAGCAACGATCACAAGGACGACACATCGGCTGCATTCTGTACGTTTTGCTTCACGCAAATTGATTCGGCGGTCATTTGAGCGTTCAAGACGAGACGCAGCCGGGTCTCCCGCGCTTTCCCCGTACACCCGCTCACAACGAACGCCCACTTCCTCGTGCATCTGTGTGCGCACATAATTGTTCTTCGCGTAACCCAAAGATGACCGCGAGAAGATCTTTGGATTAATGTTAACTCGTGATAGAAGCTCGCCTCAAATCACGCCCTTGACTGCGCGCGTGCGCTATATGGGTATGCGTGTATACGTGGCGCAACCAGTCGTTGCAGGCACGGCGTACATACTTTGGCCGCCTTCTATAGGGAGTATAGATATTCGGGATTTTTAATTCGCTGATAAGAGATTAAGAGAGTGAAGGAAAGATAGACAGATACACGCACGCACTGACGCACACACACACACACACACACACACACACACACACACACACACACACACACACACACACACACACACACACGACGCGTCTCAATCTTTGATGGAAGGCGCCTCGGGCTAATCTGGCTCATCTAAAGAACCGACTCCGGAGCGCCAGCACGCAAATAGGCACACACCGCGAAGGAGGCAAGAGGCCGCAGAAGATTTTATGAGCGCCATGTTTCTCTACGAGTGCGATTTGTCGCGGCCATTCCGCTGCAGTCCACCAGCAGGATGTGCGCGTATAAAAAAAAAAAAAGCGGCGGCCGCCCATAGGAAGAACGACCGTCCGGTTCGGCTCTTCGTGACGTCATCGACCGTGTGGGAAAGGAGGAAAGAGAGAGTGTTGCTAGAGCGAGAAAGAGAGCCCAGAACACAAGTGGAAGTTTTGGGGTGAGGGCGAGAGAAAGTGCTAATCGGTGTGGGGGGGGGGGGACCCTCGCCCGCCCCCTCCACGGTGGTCAGGCCGGGTTTCGCAAGGGGTTTGCAACGCCCGTCGGGGAAAAATAATTCATGCACCTCGCGTACACCGAGCCGATCGTCGATGCGCTGCAGAATCGCTTTCTTCTCATGCCCGCCCGGCTGCGAAATTGTATGGTAGCCCTCCCTTATGTGTGCGTGTTTCATTGGTGCGATGAGTGGACCACCACTCGTCACAAATGTCTAAAAAGGGGGTGCAAAGTTTTCAATTGTGTCTTCTCACGTATTTTTAAATGTAAGGGCCGACTAACGTGGACCGACGTATTAAGCCTTCTCCCAACATTGATGGCTGCCAGAACGATTCCAATGATAAGGGTGCGCTTCTGAGCGTCGCGCCAGTTGGGTACTCCATTTTTTATATATGACGTCAGCGCACGCGCTGACGTCATATATATAAAAATGGCTACACCCATGTAGCATGGGCGTAGCGAAGGGGCGGGGGTGGGGAGGTTGAACACCCCTTCCCCCATTTTTCAATCTTGCTTGCGTATGTATACACGCACACATACCAACGCATGCACGGACTTACACAAAGTAAGGTCGAAATAGTTAAACCCCCCCCACCCCCCAGGAAAAATTTCCCGCTACATTACTGTTATGTCGGGCGCATATACTGTCAATGAATCACAACGTGCGACGCCTGCCGCGAGCGATGGTG